TGTTTTTGATGCCTATTAAAACATAATATTATGATAATTATCTCAGAAGGTGATAGCCCCACCAACGGCCAAGCAGTAAAATTGCTGGACACAGGTAGTTCGGTTCGAATCCGAGCGAAAGGGTTGGCTGCATGGACGTTTTCGTGATTTTTCCATTGTATAACATGTATAGAAACCATTTTCTCTTAGACAGTTCTCCATGAAGGTATCCTATATTTGGCAGATAATCCTCGAGAGCTTTGTCAAGTTAACCAAACCAAAAAAAAAAAAAAAAAAATTTCAAACGAAGCATAGATATTAAATTTTAAATAGACCTATTTTGTTCTTAATTTCACGAACTACATACACATATTGGCCTTTATAGTAAAACCCCAATCATAAGTATTAACTAATGAATTTTAAAATAAATGGTAATCAGCACCTAATTTAACATAGCTCATCAGTCCTTGGTCGTAAATATACGTCCACTAGCGGCCGAGCAGTAACGTCACTGAACACTAGTAGTTTGATTTGGAACTGAGTTTTCCCCACGTGTAACGTGAATACGAGCCAGTTTTCTTTAAAAAGTGCTTCCAAGAAGGCATCCCTTCCCATACAGAGACAGCCCTCATTTGTTTTAATTAATTAACTGTAATCCTAAGTAACAAATTGTTTTCCCTCCGGAAAGTCCTCCATGAAAGTTGTCTATCTTTATCTGAGCATCTAATTGTGTCATTTTAAATCTTGATATAGACAGAGACTCGGAAATTCTTATTTCCTTTTTGGAAATTTTTTGCATCACCCAGATTACCATCATATTTTTCACACCTTCGTATAATATTTGCGACGATTTTATAAAAACCTATTTACATTTTTCTTCTACTTATAACTATTTTTCATAAATATTTACTCTTACCTGCTGAGAATTTTCTGTCCCAACCGTTTCGAAATTTGGAAATAAACACATCTTCATAGCAGTAAAATATTCATAATCAAATATCATTTGGACCTTTTTATTCGATAACACTTTCAGTAAAACGGAAGTATTTTGCTTAGGATAAAAAATGCATCATACGATTTCATGTAGTTTCAGTACTTTATTTTATCAACGCCAAAAACGATTTAATCAAATACGATGTTATTTTCGAATAACTTTTCATATCATGCCAAGGAAATTTCTCAGTAGTTCGTTTTAGACGAGAAATCAGAAGAGTAAAACAAATTTTTCTTTAAAGAAACGCACCTTGTCCTCATATTTCAATAATAAATTGTCCATACTTCAATTACATGATTTGAACTCTTTCAAAAATCTCATTTTTATTTCAGAAAAATTATTCAAAATATATATTGAAGTAACTGTTTTTGTGAACTGTTATAGTAATACAGTATTTTTAATCAATGCGCACAGCTAAAATAAAAATAAAAATTTTATCAAATTTCTCTGTTTCTACAGTCATTGTAAGACACCTGTTTAAGTATTTATTGTATGCTAAAAGAAATTATTTGTACAATTAGGTGTACAAATTCTTTAAAATTTATTCATGGGTTCCGTGCAAATTACATTTATTTTTGCAGAAGAAATTTCGTTTCGCAAATTTCTCTAACGATCGCTGTTTCCCCACTACCAATTAAGCACAACAGGAGTTCGGGGGGAATGACAGTACAGAATATTCCGTCCTCAACGATTTCGGGGCGGAAAAAATGTAAGGCAGAAAACATCGTTTGAAGCGCTTTCGGATCCATCAAGAGGTGTCAAAATAATCCGTGTGTGACGATTTGAAAAGCCATCTTTCGATACGGAAAAATCCGTTCGTAACGCTGAGAGGGTTAAATTCCTCCTACACCTTTTTTCATAGGTAGGATAATCTTAATTTTTTATCCTTTTGAACTCTTCAGTAAATGAAAACAAAATAACCTACCTATTCTAAGCACCTCAATCTCTGTCTGAAAGTGGACCTTTTTTAGGCACTCTTTTACAGAAAGAAGGAGCTCTGACCCGGAGTATTCATAATCAGAAATGGATTATCCATCTGGAAAATTAGCTGAAATCTTGCCCTAAGCCCTGTCCAAAAAAAAAATTCCCTCTTTTTCAGAAATTATTTATCGAACATAACGTCATGCAGCTCCTACAAAACGATATTCTTGATATGATATTACTGGTGTATCACCGGAGCGCCTGGCCATCAAAATCTGCCTATATCGAGAAACTGGATAATTTGGAACATATTAGAATGAGATTTTCAATTATCACTAAAATTTGTTTCAACAAGTAGTGCAAGTTCGTAAAGAGTACAATATTCAATTTACAGGAATTACATTTCGAAAATAATATTATCAATAAAATAGAAGCAGAGCTATCGAGCTGGTGAGTAGAAATAGAGAACAGTGATAAATTATAACAACTAAAAGGTATAATTAAGGTAACTTAGCAATCAGTAAAATAGCAAATCTAGCATACAAGAAAGTTAACAAAAGATTCCGAAACATTATATGGTTTCTAAAATTCCAAAAGCGATACGAGCCTTGTGGCTCACTAAGTGTTAGCTAACACGCTCACTAAGCTGCGACTAGCTATCTGAAAATGGTCCTAACAATGAATTTCTAAATATGCTAATTTTTCATCAATAGCGATTTAGTAACTATTCTTTATGTCATAGTACATACTTTAAGAATACCTCCAAGAATATTATTAATTGTGTTTATTTTCTTTTAATAGTGTAGTGTTTGGTTAAATTTGTTTTATATGGCCAAGATAGAAGGAACTCTACAATGGAAAACCTTAGAAATTTTGCCAAATGTCCCCAAGGCTGCTGTCAGAGCATTATCTTGTAATTTATTAATGGAAAGGATCAAATATGCCTCGTATAATAGTTAAATTACCTACTATACGTGGATTACATGATTTATGAGTTAACTGCTTGAGAATATGGGAGTGAAATATTAGCAGTTTCTTAAATGAGTAGCTCAGATTCCTCGTTAAGAACAGCGGAATCTATGATAAAAGCGAGGAAAACATATGGGAAAAACTGATGCAAAATTTCTACAGATTTCTGTATACCTCGCGGTTGATACATGGAAATTAAGCATATCTTTAAAATTTCATCTGATTTTCTTAAAAATTCATAGATTGACATGAACTGCTCTCCGCCAGTCATTAGAAAGGAGAGAAATGTTTAACCTTTCAATGTATTATATGAATCATACCAATTTTTACTGAATTTATCATTAAAAATATTACAAAGCAGAACTTATTTACTGGGCTGAATTTTATCTTACTGTATCCTTATCAATGTTTAGCTATACTTTTCCCTGAGTAGATGTCAACATAAAACTGTACTCTTTATTTCATTAGTGCCAAAAACACAGAATTCCTTTCTGTCTTTTCAGTCACCAAGCTAGCTTTGTGTTATTCATAAATTTGATATTAGAGGCTTAAAAATTTTACTCTGTATAGCTGAATATATGTACTTTTCAATTCTATGTTAAGATTTAACTACAGAATTGTTTTAAAATATTTCACTTTTTCTGTTTGATTCATATATGCATCACTATACATTTATCATTAGACTTCGCTCTAGAGTGCAGTGTGATGCAGATATGAATCAGGTTAAAATTTAGAGTGGATTTTTAATTATAATGCTTCATAATACCTTTTATTTCATGATTATTTTAATATCAGCAATACCCACTCGATATTTGCAAGCATTGTTCTTATTTAGAGTCATAAAATATTAATTTTATGCCTCTAATTATATAGTAGGTATATTGTTTGTTTGTACTGAAAATTCCTTGAATTTGTTTTTAGTTATGTTCATTTACTGGGTAATTGCTTTCAAACTACTTTTATGTGGTCTCGATGGATTTGCTCACAAGTTGATGTATACTCAGGCCAAGAAAATCTACCTCACGATCTCTTAGCAAATGATATAGAATTGGGCGCCAGTGTAAATATTGTGATTAGACTTTGTAGGAGCTTCCTCGAAATCAAAATTTCAAATTGTATTTCGACAACTTTTATATTTCATTTGACATAACGAAGTGTTTAGCTGATGAAGGCATTCTTTGTTTGGGAACTCTGTGTAGGAACAGAATTCTAGGTTGCAAGCTTCTTGCAGAAGAGCCACTGAAAAGAGTTGAGGAGAACAAGCGTTGGATACATTGCAGACTACAGTATAACTGAAATATGTAATTTAGTGTTAAAAGACTATAAGAATGTGCTCCTGTTGTCTACGTCCGCTAGGAAACACCCCAAAACAGCCCATTGAATAGATATCTAGATTCGATAGGAAGAAAAAAGGGACAGTTACTGTGGACTGCCCAAATATCGTGAAACGATGCAACAAACATATGGGAGGAGTAGATTTGCTGGATAGCCACATAAGAAGATACAAAATAACTCTGAGATCAAGAAAGTGGTATATGCGATTTTTTACCACGTCTAGACCTTGCGGTCATAAATGCGTGGCTGCTGTACAAAAGAGTGTCTGTACAAAATGGAACCAACCCTAAAGATTTGCTAAAACTGGCCGCCTTTTAGGTTGCGCTCAACGAGATAATATACTTGTTATAAGAAGTCGTTGGTTGCGCTATCCGTTAGACTGTACAAAATGGATAAATTTTAGTTCCTAGGCGTAGAAGTACAAAATATTTAATACATTATTTTTATTTAAATTTTCATCAAAATTTTAATTTTTATAAAGTCTGAACATGATTAATTAGAATTACCTATTAATAAAATTTTAAATAAAGTCAGTATCTTCTAAAAACAATAAATAATTAAGTATTTTATTCCAATATTTATTAAATATACTATTGTAAATGATTTTGCATGTGGTTTACATTTCAGTGCTAAATGCATGACGATGCATATTGCATCAAACCTAAAAATTCAAAAAATAACCAATAAAAAATATTAAATAATTTTTTTAATATTTTTCCATATTTATTTAAGCTATGACCATGAAGGAAAAAAATGTTTGGTATAAGAATGGCAACACTTGTTCGCGGATTCATACTTTGATACGTAGTTTGTAAACATACTTTCTGGTCATGCTTTGATGCGTGTGTGCGTGCATAAATGTTTGTGTGTTAGTGGCTCCCTTTGTTTCGTTGTATATTTTGAAAGTATTACTCTCTTTAATTGTCATATGAAAATCAATCTTTGCTAAATTATTTTCTGCTCGTGAAATGGATTTTTACTGCCTATCTCTAAATAAATTTTCCATTATACTCTTACAAAACCGTTATAATAAATAGTAATGTCTGAAGAAAATCGAAGTTTCGGTAGCTACATGTCTAGCGATCGAGATATGCACAGTTATTGCAAACCACCTATACGAAAAAACTCTGATGATGACATGGATAATGATACTAGTGAAGAATATTGTATTTGTAGAAGTAAAGATACCAGCAGATTCATGATTGGTTGTGATAGTTGCAATGAATGGTACCATGGTGATTGTATTAGCATAACAGAGCAATATGCAAGAAATATTAGAACATTTTATTGCTTGATGTGTAGAGAACGTGATCCAACGCTTGAAATTCAATTTAAGGAAAAAGTAGAGAAAAAGAAAACTGAATCTGACGGCAAGAAAAGTAATTTAACTTGTGAAGATGACAGAAACAGGAAATCTGCTCGCAGATGTGGTGAATGTGTTGCATGTTATCGAACTGAAGATTGTGGCCGATGTGACTTCTGTAAAGATATGCGGAAATTTGGTGGACCTAATAAAATAAGACAGAAATGCCGTCAACGACAGTGCATGAACTTTGGTCTTATTTTAGGCAAAAAACCAAAATATATACCTGGTTTGCACAGTGAAGATACGGAAGATAATGATCGTTCTGGTAACCTTTCAGCTACTGTTGCACAGATAAAACTTTCTAATGACGAAGAAGATGATGATGATAGGGATGCAGATTATGAACCTCACAGTAAGAGAGCTCACTCAAAATTGCGACACAAAAGCAGATCTGGCCGACAAACTAATAAGCATAGGAGCAAAAAAGAAGAACATAGAAAAAAGAGGGGTGAAAAAGAGAAAAGTTCTAGCAAAAAAGAACATGACATACATCCTCAGTGTTATGGACCAGGCTGTACATATCCTTCAAGACAAAATTCTAAGTATTGTTCTGACCAGTGTGGAATGAAATTGGCTACTAATCGCATTTATGAAATACTTCCTCATCGTATTCAACAATGGCAGCGTACTGTGTGTGTTGCTGATGAAAATAATCGAAGAGCTCTGGAGAAAGTACGACGCGAGCAGCAAGAGACGAAAGAAAGATTATCTGCATTAAACAAAAAACAAGAAGCTTTAGAAAAACTTATTGAAGTAGCAAAAAGGACATCACTGGCTGCAGATCAAGACAGTTTAGAAGGTGATACTGATGAAGCTGAAATCAGTATATATTGTGTAACTTGCGGTCATGAAATAAGTGCTAAAAGTGCATTAAAGCACATGGAGAAATGTTTTAACAAATATGAAAGTCAGACATCATATGGCTCATTTTATCAAACAAATATTGAAGGAAGTAACATTTTTTGTGACTATTATAGTCCTCAGCAAAGGACTTACTGCAAGCGTTTAAAAATTTTATGTCCAGAGCATTCTAAAGAACCAAAAGTATCTGATGATGAAGTGTGTGGATGTCCATTGACTGAGGGAGTTTTTAAACCATCTGGTGAATTTTGTCGTGCTCTTAAAAAGAAATGTCTTAAACATCATCAGTGGGAAAAATTCAAAAGAGCAGAGATTGATTTGGATAAAATGAGAATTCTTTTCAAATTGGATGATTTAATTGAGCAGGAAAGAAGCATTCGTCAGCAAATGGCTAATCGAGGTGGAGTATTGGGATTGATGTTACATCAGACAATTCCATATGAAGCAGTGCCTGAAGGTTGATATAAATTTGTTTATATCATGAAATATTAATTTTTGCTTAATAATATTGTGCTCGGTTTCCATAAAAATGCCATGTTTCAGAAAGAAATTCATTTTAAATAGTTTAGTGCCATGTTTAATAGTCTGTTACATAATTATTTAATTGAGTGTTTTTGAAAGTTAAAATTTATGTGCAGATACAGTCATATATATATATATATATATGTTACTGCTCAAGTGCATTAATGTGCACATTACCTAGCTAATCTGAATTGATTTGCTGTGTTAAAGTGAGGAATTGTGAGATTTCCGCATTTTACCTAGGTAATGTGCACATTGACGACTTCCGTATCGTTGAAGTTCATAAGTTTCTTTCATTGCCTTTCCCTCTCCCTACACTTTGCACATTACCTTCTAGGCACTTGCTAGTCTGCACATTACCTTCTAGGCACTTGCTAGTCTGCACATTGCTGTCTAGGCACTCGTTGAACTGAAAATAAAGATCAATGCTGGAACAACAATAACATTTCTATACACTTAAATTAACATGATGTAATTTATTTATTTTTCAATATCTAAAAAATAAGTGGTACAACTCTGATATACGCCCTAATTTCACCAAATGTGGCGATATGTGTTCCGCGATGGTTTTTGGCGTGATTGTGTGTTATATGACAACCCTGATGACGTTGAAAAATCTTTCACTGGAGTTCGTTGGTTCCCGTCATGCTTTGTGTCTGAGAAGCTAGGGGGGAAAGATTTAATGGTGAAAGTTGTTGAATTGAAGTTCGGTTATAAGGAAATATCGTCGTGACCATCCTGTTGAGGGCAGTGGGTATTTGGAGGTGTGGAAAGAGGTATCTGGGATATTATTTTTAATGGCTATGCATGATAGAAGTAGGGATTTGTGATTATTTGTTATTTTATTTATTTGTTGAACCAATAGTATGAATTTTCTGGATAGTGTATCTGGCTGTCATATAAATACCATAGTGATTATGTGGCGGCATGTTAAAGGCGGTATGAAATTGGTATTTCTGCTTGTTCGAAAAAGCATTATTCATGGTAAGTGCATTTTATTTTATTCTTGTTCTTATTTTTGTAGAATGTTATTTTTATTGTTTTTTTAGTATGAATTTCTGTCGTTATCGTTGTTTTTTTTGAATAAATTTCAAAAAATTTATTTTAGTTATTTTTGTTGATTAGTGCTCACCGTCTAAATTGTGCAATTCGTAGATGTATTTTAAAGTTGAAATAGAACGCTGTGTACATGGTATTCTTTGAATTTATTGTTGTTATGTTAATTTTTAAATAAAGCGAGGTGTGCATAGTTCGTAAATTCATTCGTTGCCTAGATGGTGCCATTCGTAGATGTTTTTTTAAGTTAAAACATATCGCTGTGTACATGGACTCTTGCCAAATAATTTTGGGGAACTACTCTGATATGCGCCCTCAATGCGCCAAATTTCTCGCCAAATATTTTTGGCAGTGTGGAGTTATATATGGCAGCATGGAGTTTTGGCGAGAAACTCCACGCTGCCATATTGCTATCTAAATTTTTTGTCTACATTTCGAACTTTAAGCCTAAAATGTCTCCAAAAACACAGTTTTCGCGAATGCAAAAACCACGTTTTGAACACACAATTTAAGCTAAAAATCCGAAACAAAAACGAAAAATTTAGATAGCAACACCGTGAAGTATAACAATAAATTTCAAAGAATACCATGTACACAGCATCCTGTTTCAACTTAAAAAAAACTTAACAATTTAGGCGAATCGCACAATTTAGGCAACAAACAAATTTACGAACTACGCACACCTCATTTTAATAAATTAACATAACAACAATAAATTTCAAAGACTACCATGTACACAGCATTCTGTTTCAACTTTAAAAAACATCTATGAATTGCACAATTTAGACAGTACGCACTAATCAACAAAATAACTAAAATAAATTTCAAACAATTAAAAAAAAACAACAATAACGACAGAAATTCATACTAAAAAAACAGTGAAACATAACATTCTACAAAATAAGAACAAGAATAAAATGCACTTACCATTAATGCTTTTTCCGAACAGCAGAAATACCAATTTCATACCGCCTTTAACATGCCGCCACGTAATCACTATCATATTTATATGACAGCCAGACACACTATCCAGAAAATTCATACTATGGTTCACAAATAATAAAATAACAAATAATCACAAATCCCTACTTCTATCACGCACAGCCACTAAAAATAATCTCCCATACCTTCTTTCCACACCTCCAAATACCCATCGCCCCTCAACAGGATGGCCACGACGATATTTCCTTATGCCGAACTTCAATTCAACAACTTTCACCATTAAATCTTTTCCGCCTAGCTTCTCAGACACAAATCATGAGGGGAACCAACGAACTCCAGCGAAAGATTTTTCAACATCAACAGTGTTGCCATACAACATGCAATCACGTCAAAATCCAGCGCAGGACACATATCGCTACATTTGGTGAAATTAGGGCATATATCAGAGTTGTACCCAATTTTCCACACATTAACGAACAACCATAGTTAATCTGCAGTACAGTGTGTATATGCTTGATGATATTTTTTTCCTCTCCCAATATATTTTATGTATGAAATATTTTGTATAGTTCCATACTCATAAGGTGGTTAATTTTGCTACTATTTTTTCTATCATGAAAGTGTTAAGTAGCTTTCGCTTAGTGTTTTTAACTTTCTGAAGTGAAATACATATGGTAAAAACCCACGTAATTCAAATGGCAGAAAGAAATTATATTGAATCAGTGATTCCAAAAACAGACATCTCCGAATTAGTTTAAAAAAAAAAAAAAAAACTAATCATTTGTATTTTAACGTATCTGTTTATAGATGTTAATTTCAATGCTTTTAAATCGTTTTTCTGTCTTGTATTATTAAAAAAGAAAAAAAAAAGAAAACTATTTATCTTATGGTCACTCTAAATACAAAAAATATTGCATAACTGTATCCTGATTAAAATATGTATGCCTTTAATGCAAGGTTAAAGCTTAGTCCTGTGAAAAAGTATTGATTTATTTAATTTGTGATATTATTATGTGCATTAATTTTATATGCTGATAGTAACTAGTATATAAAATATCCAAATAGCTTTCCTTCCTTTCAGAGATTATATTTTTAAAAAATTTGTGCCACCTTTTAAAAAAGAGTATGATAAATGTAGGATGGTGATATTTCCAAATAGGATCATATTTCAGGTAGACCAGAAATATGAATAGGTTTTCATTCTTTGATTAAGAATTTATTTGGGAGTTTCTCGAAAAGCTGTTAAATTTTCAGATTCATGATAAAGTTTATGGATGCTTTATACGTTTTAGATATATGATATCCTTGAAAATATATATTTATCTACATACAATAATTTTTATTTAAATTTTTCTTATCACCATATGCATTAATTTCATTTCTAGAGCAACATTAGCTTTTTTAGATTTTTATCTCCTCATATTTCATTTTCTTTAAAATTTACCTATGATGATTTATTTAATGTTGTTATATGCATGATGATCAATATGTTTTCTTTCCTTATAACAATTTTTGTCTCTGGTAATCCTTATTATTATTATTATTGTAATTAATTTGTTTTTGTTACTGAAATGCTTGAAATCATGTACAGTACAAAGTCCGTGGCGCATGCGCCAACGCGGCGCATGTGCAGAAAGTTTTTAGCTTTGAGGTCCGGATTATAGATCATTCCGGATTATGGGTGTCCGACTTAACGACTTTTGACTGTATCTCATGTGTATAATATACCAATACAGTCAAAAGTCGGTAATCCGGACTCGTTGGAACTTCGCGATTCCGGATTATCGATTTTTACGTATTATAGATCATCAGTTTAAATCTTGTAAGATAGCATGCAGAAATTCTAAAATTAAAAATATGAAACCATAATTTATGAAATAAAGAACAATTATGATCTAAAGGGTATCAAAATTTACAAAAAAAAAGCTTAATATTTATTTGTTTACTTTATTAAACATTTCTTTCAATGTAAGTTGTTTAAGTTGCTTCGTTTTTTGTGCTAATACTTTCTCTTTAATTCTATAAATAGACATAATTTCTTGTTCAGTTACAAAGTTCCACTGTTCAAGTCCTGTAATTGCTGTGTTGAGAATATCCACTAACTTGTCAATCGAAACCTCTGTGTCACTTTCGTCGGTATCGGAAGCGCAAGGGTAAACACTTGATGCACATGCATAAGTTTGTGCCTTTGAGGCCTGGATTATAGACTTTGTACTGTATATAGATGTGTATAGAATTCTACAATAATTTATAATGAATTTTAAAAACATATTACATTGAGAGTTCATGACCATAACTCCAAGTCTGACTGTGACTCCGAAGGAATTTGATTATAATACTGATAAGAGGAAATTTTTAATTTAATAATTAATTAAATTTAATCATAAAATTAAATTGAATGGTTATAGACCATAAAATAAAGAGAGAAGTTTTTTAACTGTTTATTTATAATCATAGAATATTATATATTACAGAGAACAGTATAGTTCTATTTTTTACATATATCCAAAAGTTTTGCCATTCACAAGTTACTAAACACTAAATGTTGCCATTTACAAATTACTAAATATTAAATGTTACTGGACAAGCTTAGTCATAGAGTGAAAGAATGTTTATAAAAATAATAATAATCCAAAACATTAATTAAAATAAACTTAAAATTAAGCCTAAGCGAATCATAGGAATAATGAATAATGAAATGACTTTTCAAAAACAGTGAAAGTTTATCTGACTCGAGTTCCAACTTCCTTTAATAACAGATTTATTTTCACATTACAAACACACAGAGATTAATGAGGCTATTTACATGGCTGGTTTAATAGAATCGATCAATCGATGGATACATCTTAATGATGAATAACATTCTGTATTTATGTAGCATAAATTAAATGCAGCGTAACTTAGAACGATCACAACATTTTAAACAAAACTGAGTTTCCATGTGCATAGAGCAAACAAATGATTAAATAATACCAAACAGGAAATGTTTAACTTAATAGGACTGGCAACAAATAAGCTTCAGAAATGACAGTGAAGATACTTTCATCTTGCCTGTGCATTTTCATTTAAAAAGTGTTCCTCTGATGATAAAACACAAAATGAGATCATTCTGTGTTTTGTCATCAGAGGAACACTTTTAATTAACACACATTAGAAATTAAGTATACATCAAAAACACAGAATGAGATCATTCTGTGTTTTTGATGTATACTTAATTTCTAATATTGGTAGTGCTTAGGTGGTTAGATTGATTAGTCTGTTTCTGATATTATTCTGTATTTGTGCATTATAAACTATTATGTCACCCTGTAATTTCATAATTGCATTTTAAATACCATGTCACAAGTTCAATGGCTATATTTAATTTATGGAGGTACATTCATTATTACATATTTCTGCATCTTTGGACTCTGTGTAACACCTTTCATATCACCTGCTCAATTTGAATTGATTAATTTGAAAGTAGCAATTTCTTAGTGGAGGTTGTTCCATGAACCAGGGTACTCCAGTGATTGTACAATTCTTATCAAAGGAAATGATTTCATTCTGTGTATAGATAGGATACAAATAATATTTGTGAATAAGTTAATA